ATGTCTTCTTAATACATGTTCTTTTTTCTCTCCCTTAACAATAATTTTCTTATATTTTCTCACATTTCGTGCGTCTTATTGATTTTATCACATGGCTTTGGGAGAATTTATTAAAATAAACGTTACGTGTTATTTTTGTTGTGCTTTCATTGTGTTTATTCATACATATTTGTTTTCATAGTGTTGTGCTTATCGCATATATTTTTCAGTTTTCAAGGATTTTCTTTTATTCTGATTTATAACTTTTAGGTTTTCTTTATATGTTTCTTTAGCTTGGTATATTTGGTTAGCTTGTAAACAGTCAGCATATAGTGGGCATTTTTTAAAAACATCTCTTATAGGTAATCCATCCCACCTAGTCATGAATAATATAAAAACCCAATGATGTGTAACATTTTCTTCTAAAATCTTGGTGACATTTATTTGTAAAAAATGTGTACTGAGGCTTAACCTTATCCGGAAAATATTGGAAAATATCCCGGTGTTCATTCTGGTATGCTCGTAACTGATTTATGAACTGCTTCATGGCTGACTACCGAAAGGTTGAAAGCAAAGTTTAAACATTTTTTTCTCTGAATTTAATTCATACTCTTTACCTCGTTATTCAAAAAGGTGTGCCTGTCGTTTTTTTTTTGGGGGGGTCCACCCTAAGGCGTCTCTTATAGATTCATTCTTTCTATTACGTTATTTAACGATGTAAGACGACGTGTGTGTTTGAATGAAAAAAAGGTTTTCCCTTCTTTTCTTTTGAAATGCGAATACTTTGAAAGACAAGAAGTCGAAAAAACAAATTATTTTTTCAGAAATTTTGTTCAAGAAAATTCAATTGAAAAATCTGCAATACCTCCTGTAACGATTCTCACCACTTGATAGTTTTCTAGACGATATGGAAAATAAATAATATGATATCGGCATTTTTAACCTCTATAAATACAGATGGTATTATTTCTACGTTCGAAAAAAATCTTTTAGTATATAATGTGCCAAAATGCCATGATGTTAAAAAAAGCTGATTTCTTAAAAAGTGCCACCTTTTCAGAAATATGCTAATACTTTGATTTCTTTCTCGTTGGCATTAGAATAATTAGAAGAATTCGCTAGATTCTTTTATGCTTGAAAAATGGTCAGCTCAGAAAGTAACTGAACTACGGTGCTTTATTCATACAAGAGTCTAATTGACGAAAATGGAGTATTGCTGCCAAATCTTGGGTTCGAGATGCTTAATGCTCACTTTCTACCTTTGGTAGAGTTCCAAATAGTTAATGTTGGAATTCCATTGAGACCTATAACAAGCTGTAGGGGGTCTTCATGCAATCCACTGAGCAGATTCCTGATGGATATCTTCAACCTACTAACAGGAATATAGTCGTCCTATGTTAGAAACATGAACCCATAGTGAAAATTATCCAAGGGGGTCCCAACCATGACAATCAGATGTTAAGTTTGAATGTGTTAAGATTATTCACCGGAGTTCATAAAAATGAAACTCTGACAGTGGTTTGACACCGATTGGAATGAGATCCCTCTCTGGGAGAACATGCCAACATTCCAATAGATAATCTTGTGGAAATGTTGATGTTCTCTGTACAAACATTATTCAAGGTATAGTCTGAAACATATGAACAGAAGGAAGGCTTGGCTATGGGTTCACTGTTGTCACCAATAATGGTGAACATATAATGGAATACTTTGAAGGATTGGCTTTAGGAATGACACCACTAAAGCCTGTAGTATAGCGAAGATATGTAGATGAGACCTTCATACTCCGGCCATACCAGGAAACTTTACAAAGTTTGCTGAACCATGTGAACTAGATATGACCTTCGATCCACATCACAATGGAAGAAATAAATAAACTGTTAGCCACCCTGGGTATAGTAATAACTCGCATAAGAATTGGATTCAAAACATCTGTATATTACAAGCCATCAAGCAATCAGTACAGTGTGAAGAAAGGGATTGTTCGATGCCTACAACACCAGACAAAAGCCATAAGTGGTGACCCAGATGCATATTAACAAGAAATGATCAGCATTAACAGTACTCTTTAGAATAACAACGACCTAGCAAACATTTTTTTAAGCATTTCACCTGAAGCAAGGCGGGAAGCCACTAGCACACAAGGGGATACAGAGGATTTGGAGCGAGAGCAGATAGGAGTGATAGAAGAAAGGATGAAGAGAAGGATAGTGGATAGATCAAGGCAACTGGAGATGTCGATTGACATTACATTTCAATAGTTCGAGATTATAGCTATCAGGGAAACAGGAAAAGAGGAGGGAGTTCCACAGGCGCGAGGTGCGAGATATGAAGCTAGTAGAAGAGACGGCTACACTTAACAGTTACAACAGTGAAAGGGTGAGAGCAGATGCCAGCGTCGTAGGACGCTTGAATTCATGAAGTCTGGGAGCTAGCGAAAGTAGATCATCGGAGCAATTACCTTGAAAGTATTTGTAAAAAAGACAGAGAGAGGCGACGGCACGTGTTGGAAACAGTAGGGACAAGGAGGAGGGCCAAAAACTAACACATCTGTCACGTTCTATTTTTCTGCGGTCTATACAACACCAGGACAATATTTGGAAGCAGTTCCGCTTTACGGAGAAATCTCTACCGAGTAAAATTTCACACGTGGGAGTACTCCATTCCTTGCAGTTGTGGCAAAGAATATAAACGGGAAACAATCTTCTCTCTAAAAGTAACGCTGGGGTGGGGGAATTAGAAGTCGTAGAGAGACAAGGAAATCGGGCATGGCTGATCATGTATAGACTGAAAGGAGTAGTCACCAGCTCATGTGGAACAAAATGAAAATACTGGACAAGGGAAAACACTGAAGAGTTATACGTCTGAAAAAAATCAGCGTATATACTAGGCTATGGGGAAATCTTTAGTATGCCTAGCATAGAGATAAATAAAATATAGGAGCCTCTAATAAATAAAGAAAGAACAATAACAGCAAGTATTCAACAGCTGCAGCAGTCGCAATAAAAAACATGACAGGCGACAACAGTTAGAGCGCTAATCAGCAGGCAGGTTAGGTTTAAGCCTCCAAGTTCACTACAGCAAATTGGCTAACGGAACAGGGTCCGGTGTATTAAAGCATTTGGAGACATAGTGATTGTAGCAACTGATCGGTACTAAAAATAAAAACTAGGCGATATCCACAGACATAGTCCGAATACAAATAATGCAAACAATGTTAAGTCGTCACACCATAAAATTCAAACAGAAACATTCTCACAGAACAAGAGGCGACGTGGTGTTTTATGAGCATGCATAGATAATGTGAGCAAAACCGGTTGGGTTACCGGATTTAAAAGCAATGCCTAAACTCATAACCTGAATTGATGGCCAACAAAAACACAGGGTATCCCTAAAAATAACTATTCTCGCTTGATCTCATTTTTTAACAAAATGTATAAAAAACTAAGTTGATTCGTGGAATTATCTCAAAGAAAATCTCCGAGAAAGATGGATCGGGCGTGCCCGTGATAATGTCAATGTTCTAATGGAAAGGCAACCACGTTTTTTCTATGTGGATATATTAATGGACAGTTCTATATCCCAAAACTTCCTACAAGACTTGAGGAACTTAATCAGAGAATCACTGAGGCGATGGAAAATGTTACGTAAGGGATGCTACAGCGTGTTTGGCAGGAGTTGGACTACCAACTTGACGTGAGTCGTGTCACAGGTGGTGTGCATTTTGAATATTTGAAACTTTGTGAAATCGGTTAAGAATCCACATCTCTTTGAATGATTGTTCGAATTTTGATAAATAAATCTTTTATTGCACAAGATGAAGTTTATTTAATTTCGTTTGCCTGGGACATGTAGTTACTCAGATATTCACATTTTAAATGATATCAATTTTGGGGAGAACACCCTCTACATGACTGCCAAAGATGGCGAGATTTTTGGATAGCCTACGTTCAGCAAAGTACTGAAAAAGAATATTTCTAATTGGGGTTTTATTTATAAAGTAAATATAATGTTTAACGTCGCACGAATCGAGAGTTTAGGGGATTTTGGGTTACATCCTTCGCTTCTTTCTTATCTGAACAGATACTTGAAAAATTTAGACGTTTGCTAAAAATGATTTCACTAGACTGACAAAATTCAATACAAATTTGATTAATTAAATTCTGTTTAAAAAATACAATGACTCCCAGTTTTTTTTTTTTTTTTTTAGAAATATGATTATTGGTTAAATTATAAATTCTGTCTGGTATTTACATTATCAGTACGGATATATATATATATATATATATATATATATATATATATATATATATATATGTGTGTGTGTGTGTGTGTGTGTGTGTGTGTGTGTGTGTGTGTTTGTGTAAGACAGCAAATGTTAGACAATCTCCTCAAAGACGAGGAAGAGACTTGTAGCAACAAAATGTGGTTATACAGAAGGATGCTGGGAGTAACATGGACCGAATATATGAACAGCGATGAGGTTTTCGAGAAAATGGAAACAAAAAGAAAAATTATAATTAACACCAGGAAGAGGCAGTTGACATTTCTGGAGCACTTAAGGAGGAAGGAGGGCTTGGAAAATCTGATACTCACAAGAAAGATTGAGGAAAAGGAGGACAGAGGAAAGCAGTGAGCTTCAGTAAATGAATGATAGATCAAGGTTAGGGAGAAATGACAAAAAGATAAAACTTATTAAGAAATACAAGGGGCAGGAAGATGGGGATGGCCATGATCCCCTACGTGTTGTACGGATATGGTACATAAAAGAAGTTAAGTTATAATTAATAATATCTGTTTCCTTTTCTTTTGAAGTGAATTATTTAATTTTAGAAATGATTTTGAGACAGTAAACGTCGTCCATAAGAGAATAACCAATCTGTGTTGCAAATCTTGATATTTTGTCGGTTAAGGATTGAGAAAAGCTTTCAGAAGACTAAAATTATGTGGTTGAGATCTCTCTCACGTACAATTCAAGTACATGCTTGAATTTACAAATCGAGAAAAACTAAATTATCAAAATGTCAGAAATTATACGGCAACTCATTATTCTGGCGGCACCTGATGTCCAGAGTTGCACAAATGCTTTCATCCTGGTTGTAGTTAAGAAACTACTCTTTAAATAATTGCTGGGAAATTCTGTTTTGGTAAAGGCTGAGCACAGCAGAGTCCAGAGGAGAAAGATGACACAGTAATCATTGGCATACAGGTGTTTTTAGAAACACTTGATGTGTGTTTTTCTCTTTGGATTTTATTTTGCCAAATGGGACTTCAAGATTAGTTTTACCGTTTTAATTACAGACAGGAAGAACCGAATTCGAAAATCTCGAAACTTCTAATTATATATCTGCGAGAGAGTGAATAGGTAACATATTTTTACATTGATTCAAATTTGATTTAATGTGTCAATATGCGATCTTTTAACGGAATAACAACAACGACCGAACATAAATACATTCAGCTGAAACCTTGTTCATTTAAAACCTAATCTTCGTTTACCAAGCTATCATGATACACACGGATCATATACCTAAAGAACTGTAAAAAAAAAAATCGGTCGTCTTCATACACATTTTTTGTTTTATGTAGATTATGTAATGTTCTCCTTCGGACATTATTTTTCAACATGTGTTCTAGCCCAGGGAGCACTGAGATCTATCAAAGGGACTCTGCATATTCAGTGTGAGTAGGGGCGCTATCATTCTAAAAAAATCTACAAAATGTTATGCCACTATTATTTGGAGCCGATGGTGAAGATCATTTTGTTTTACGGTATATCAACTACAATGGGTTAATGCCGACGACATTTTTATTACTGGTAATATTTTTTCAGATGTATTGCTGATAATTTTCTTTCTTCAAAAATCTAGTAATATTTTTTCTTCAAAAATGTATCGCTTGTAACTTTTTTTTCCAAAAATGTATTGCTGGTAATAAGTTTTTCTTCAAAGACTTATTGCTGGTAACAAGTTTTTTACAAATTATTTCTCGTATTAACACCTGTTTTTACACTTTCATAGTGTTTTGACCCCAATTTGTGGGTTAAATATTTGCCCATAGCTGGGGCCCTAACAGGTGCTACCACCCAGGGTCAGGGTGGACCTTAGAACACGAGCAATTATGAAGTGGTTCCACGCTCCTGATCAGAGGCCTTGCTGTTGGACGTAGTTTATCGTCATACCCAGGACGGAGATGATGAAGAAGAAAGAGTTTAGGTTCTGTAGATGAAAACGCATTTAGAGTTATTTTTCTCGAATGTAAAGGGTGTTTCATTAAAACGGATTATATACAAGGGTATTTTCTTTAAGTCGGATCAAAGTCAGCAGTAAGTGAACCATTGGTGAAAATATATTTTTTTTTTTTTTTGGATCATGTTATTTAAGTCATGGCAATTATGAGTGAAAAATAATATCGCCAAAGTCCGCTAAATTTGAAAGAAAAAGAAAAAAGAAAAAAATCATTAGACGCTTAAACTTAATTCACATTAAAACAGGTCCATGTTAATGGAACACCCTTTGAAATAAAAATTTAAAATAATGTTTTATTCCTTACATAATAAACTCTAGCCCATATATTTAATATATAAATAAAAAGCACATTTTATCAAATGAAGCCATTGAAACTGAATGATTACTGAACATTGCCTATCGTCCGGTTCAAACTCCTCCCACATTCCAGGAGTAGAAGTTTATCCCCTGTTTCCTGTCTAGGTGTGGTTTTTCAGTTCCTTCTAATGTCTGCTTCGACTCTGAACTTGTAACGTCTACGCCTGAACTCTTAAATTTTATTCAAACTATTTATTTCATTTTATATTTTTTCTCTCCTCCACCAACAGGAATTGATATGTTTTCCTATTGTCCGGTTCTAACTCCTCCCCAGTTTTTTTAATAGATGTAGAGGTTTATCCCTTCTCTCCTGTTTAGGATTGTGTTTCCGGTTCCTTCTAAAGTTTTCTTCAGCTCTATACGCCTAATGCTTGTCCTTTCGTAAACTAATATAACTCCACACAGCATCTCTCTCGCTTCGGTGGCTCTTGAGTCTTGTTTAGGATGAACATTAGTAAAAAAAAAATAAATAAATAAACATCGCCAGACAAGTAAAGATATCAATTAATTTCGGGATTACAAAATAGAATTTTTAGAGACTGATTAACATTGAAAGATTTGTTCAATATTGTGCTGGAGAATTACCTCAGAAGTCTAAGTAGCTAAACTTACGCATAAAACGAATAAGTTGTAAGCGAGGTGAACCGTCCAAGCATCGGTGCTGGAATGATACAGTGTATATGGCACTGAACCAGATCGAGGCTAGAGGTGTGCTCAAGAAGCTAATTTTCTGGCTTGGCAAAGACAAATGAAGGAAGCAAATGATAATTGGGACGGCAGTATGCTATTGCGTATATCGCAGTTCAGATCGGTGCATTGCGGTGTGTGCTAAAACAGAGTCCCTTGCGAGTGTTGTTCCCGTGTCGTGCTATAGAATAAACTGTTTCCTGCTACACATAAGAAAACCAACTTCATAAGGGATATATTGCGTTATGCATAATTTCGAAGCTTATTTTCAATTGTAAAAGAATAGCATCCCATTTTTTAATCCCTTCATCCCACCAATCAAGCCAGCAGAGCCACTAGGACGCAAGGAATTACTAAGTGAGAAAGAAAAACATTATTAAGGAGAGAGTACTATAAAAGAACCGATTTTTAAAAGCCCAGTAAATAATGGCTGACGTTACATAAACATTTTTGAAGATCAAATTTTACTGGGAAGCAAGAAGCCGGAAGAGAGTTCCACAAGTAAGAAGTGCGATAGTAGAAACTGTTAGCATAGAAATTACGGTTACATCTCTTGCCATTTCAAGTGGAAAATTATGAGACCGAGCCGCCAATGTAGTACTTTACTCATATTCATAGAGTCTAGCTATCATAGAGGAGAGACAGCAGAAAATTTGCCATGAAAGTATTTCTAGAAAAGTCACAGGAAAGCGACATTACGGCAGTGAGGGATATGACTGAAACCGAGATGCCAGGTCAGGACCAATAACATTGCAGATTTGGATTTTATCAAGAATCTTTAATTATATAACATGAATACCGGATCAGATTTGACAGCGATATTCAAAGCAAGTAGGATTCTAGCAAGGAAAACACGACAAAATAAACCTCCTAGCAGCAACTTTCATTCTACCAAGTGTAAAAGATTTTTGTGAGTATATGATTTATACATTTATGGTAACCGTTTCAGTTCGACTGAATAACACTTCGATATCAGCAAAAATTAAAGAAATGACAAATGGTATCGAATGTAAGCTCAACAATGACCTGAAAACACATGAATTTTGTTTAGATTATTCATCTGATAACTTATAGAGACAACGGATTTCTCTTATTGGCTTGCTTGAGCTTATCAAGTAGCAATCATGACGTTATCTAAGAATTCCAGTTTGATGAACAATTGAAAATTTGCACCGAATGTTCAATAATTACAACACAGCTGCAAAATCGTCAACGATAAAAGTATTTTCCTTTAAGATGCAATTTTAGGTGACAATGATGGGCCGTTTTCTTTGATTATTCATTCATCGTTTTTTTTAATCTAATTAAAAAAAAGTAATTACATATATTTTACTATCCATGTGTTATACAACTCAAAATAGGGTATTAAATTTATCTCGGTGCTATATTGCATGAAACATTGCAAATTGTTATCAAAGCAGAGAATTACAAAAAAAGCTATCTATTATATAAATGATTACTTCGGGAGCTTTCCTACAATGATGAAGAATTTGAGAGTCTTTTATACACATTGAAATTAATTAAATTGTCTGCAACAGTTCCATCGGATTTTGGGTTCTACTTTCGATTTTTTAATCGATTGATGATATTATGTGCATTGATCTGGAAAGCAAGAAAGCGATTTGTGGAGGAAAATAAACACCAAGACAGTCAAACACCAAATAAAAAAAATTTCTGAAACGTTAGATTGCGCTTTTCTTCCAGTTAATAAATTAATTTTTTTAAAATAAATATTTAACATTTTTCAGCTAACGAGTTGCGTTCCCGCCAATAATAAAATACATGCTTCGTGATCCTTTGGAAGGGTATTTAAGTAAACTTTCTAGACTAGACAGTAAGGAAATATAGACTCCAACAGTTCGCGACACAAGGCTTAAAAGAAATTCCAATAATCATTCACCAGTCTTCCTCATTAAGCTACGTGACACTTACACATTTCTTCGCATTTTCTCCTTTTTTTCTCTCAGACATACACGCGAAGAAATCATATTTCTTTAACAAACAACTGCAAACAAGGATTTTAAGAACTTTAACACTGATACAATTTAGGAAAAATTTAGTTGTAAAAACACGAATATAAGACTACCTTATATTTTTATATTTAAACAATTTTTCGAATTGTTCTTTGTTGTGGGTTGATTCAATTCCACAACATCACGCTGATATTTCTAACAAATTACCCCTGAAAATGTAATCTTCTGGAAAAGAAGAGATCCCTTATTAAGACAAAAGAGATAATAATGACAGTCTATGTCTTTATCTTTGTTGTTGTTATCACAATGTTTCGACTGATCCTGGTAAGGTTCATGGATTTTAAACTTTATGCCTACAATTATGTCCGTGAATTTCACTATAACTTGACTTGAACTAAAGAATGCCATGATTCAGCAATGTCATGCAATTGCGAACACATTGAAGAAATAGATTGTACAGACTTTTTAGCATCGAACAGTTATTGAAAAATTATTCAAATCACACCAAGAGAAGAGTTTTTTTTCCGAAATATAATTTAAAAATCGCACATCTTTTAGAAACACACCCCAAAAAAACACGGTGTCAAAGATGTTATTTCTCTTGACACCCGTATTACTGTATACTGTATCGTTCACTTTTATTGCTTTGAAAGGTTATTTTTACAATTTTAATAAAATCCAAGCATGGTTTTATTCAAATTTCCCCCGAGAAATGATAAAAAAAAATGTGAAACATATTTATTAGATTATTTATAATAGTTATATATTGAAATGATTAAAAATATATGTGGACCAACAACAATATGCATTAGAAAGACCTGTGAAAATATCATGATTTTCGTATTTGAATTTTCTGATGAATCTTAATTCTTCAGTTACGATAGTAAAACATCCTTAGAAATTCTTACATCACATCGTTAAAAATATTTGAGCTTAAGAACTTTAACAAAATATTGCAATAACAATTATAAATATGAAGGCTGGTCATTATTTTAAAAAGTGGGCAGAAATGAAAAGATTTCAAATTGAAAACTATTCCCATTTCACTGAAACAGCCGTTAAAAACATTTCTTTCTTTCTTTCTTTCTTTCTTTCTTTCTTTCTTTCTTTCTTTCTTTTGTCCTGTTATTCTCGGCAATGAAAGTGGAAGAGTCCATTATTTATTAAGTATTAGCAGGAGACGTTAAATACTTCTTTCTTCCTCTCTTTCTTTTTATCTCTTTCTTCCTCTCTTTCTTTTTATCTCTTTCTTCCTCTCTTTCTTTCTTCCTCTCTTTCTTTCTTCCTCTCTTTCTTTCTTCCTCTCTTTCTTTCTTCCTCTCTTTCTTTCTTCCTCTCTTTCTTTCTTCCTCTCTTTCTTATGTCTTCTTATTCTAGGCAATCAAAACGGAATAGTCCAATATTTATTAAGCATTGGCAGCAGACGTTAAGTACTTCTTTCTTTCTTTCTTTCTTTCTTTCTTTCTTTCTTTCTTTCTTTCTGTCTTTCTTATTCTAGGCAATCAAAACGGAATAGTCCAATATTTCTTAAGCATTGGCAGGAGACGTTAAATACTTCTATCTTCTATTCTCTTTCTTTTTTCTTTCTTTTTTATTTCTTTCTTTCTTTCTTGCTTTCTTTCTTTCTTTCTTTCTGTCTTTCTTTTTTTCTTTTTTTTCTTTTTTCTTTTCTGTCTTTTTTTTTTTCTTTCTTTCTGTCTTTTTTTTTTCTTTCTTTCTTTCTGTCTTTTGACATTTCTTTCTATTCTTTCTTTCTTAATTCAGCAGACGATTTTTCTTTCTTTCTGTCTTTCTTTTTTCTTTCTTTCTTTTTTCGAAATGCCCGTCTTGTGAATATATATATAATAATATATAAAATATATTCAGCAGACGATTTTGTTTTATATAAATAAATTCGGTTTCCATTTTCGATTTGTGAGTTAATATATATATATATATATATATATATATATATATATATATATATATATATATATATGCATGTAAAATATTTGTAAATAAATTATATATTTCTTAACATATATATATATATATATGTATGGATATATATATATATATGCGTGTATATATGTATATATATATGTATATATATATATATATATATATATGTATATATATATATAAATATATATATATGTATATATATATATATGTATATATATATATATATATATATATATATATATATATGTATATATATATATATATATATATATATATATATATATATATATATGTATATATATATATATATATATATATATGTATATATATATATATATATATATATATATATATATATGTATATATATGTATATATATATATATATATATATGTATATATATATATATATATATATATATATATATATATATATATATATATATATATATATATATATATATATATATATATATATATATGTATATATATATATATATATATATATATATATATGTATATATATATATATGTATATATATATATATGTATATATATATATATATATATATATATATATATATATATATATATATATATATATATATATATATATATATATATATATATATATATATATATATATATATATATATATATATATATATATATATATATATATATATATACATATATATATATATATATATATATATATATATATATATATATATATATATATATATATATATATATATATATATATATATATATATATATATATATATATATATATATATATATATATATATATATATATATATATATATATATATATATATGCCAACAATCAATCGGTCAATGAGATCAGTGGTCGAAAGTCAACAAATAAATTCAAGTTAAAGGCAAATAGCAAGGCTTGGAGACTGAATAAATAGCAAAATCTACCTGATGTTTAAGATACTATGATCGAGCAATTCATTCTTGACTTTAAACAGGGAAATTTTGCAGATGCAGAACTTGAAACTCCCGCTAAAAAGCAATAAAATAAAAATAGGGAAGCAGCAAGATTTGGTATCATTGCTCCGGGGGTTTGGAAGACCCTCAATTACCACGATATTCAGTGACAACTCTGTAACGCCAGTCATAGAAAGATGGACTGAAGACTGCTTACTTCCTTTCCTAAAGAAAAAAATCTTGGATCGGCAAATAATGAAAGAGGAATCACACTCCGGTCATTTGCAGCAAAAATTTAAAACTCAAAGCTTCTCAACAGAAGACAACCGGAAGTAGAAAAGCTGCTCCGAATAAATCGATATGGCTTTCGAAAAAAAAAAAAAAAAAAACAACCGTTGGACAAATCCTGACTGTTCGGCAGATTATTCATGGCACCAGGGCAAATAATCTGCAGACCGCCTTAATTTATGTAGAGAGGGGAAAATGGTGAAATACTTCTGGAATATGGCATCCCCACTCCTGCAACAGTAACTGTCATACTGTTGGTATACAAAAATACCAAATTTTTCGTTATATGCAAATACGAAGAAACTAAATTCTTCTACATCAAATCAGGGATCCTACAGAGTGACAACATTGCAGATTTTCTTGATCACCCTTGATTCTGCATTGAGAATTTCCATCGACAAATATCATCATCTAGGTTTTACTTTATTACTAAGTCTCTCAATTCGATATCCTGCAAAACAAAGAACTGACAAATATTGATTATGCAGATGACCTCGCTATCATTACAGAAACCCTAACCAATCCCACATTTCTCCTACATCATCTAGAAAAAAAAGCTGTCAATGAGGCCCTCTAAAATAAATTCATAAGCTTCAATCAGCAAGGCTGAATATAAACGACCAATAAAATCTGTCGGATCTTTTACATACGTAGCACTGCCCTGGGAATGACGATAAACTACGTCCAGTTGCAAGGCCTCTGATGAGGAGGCTTTGAGGAGCGTAGAATCCACCTCTTTATTGCTAGTGTTCACAGGTTCACCCTGAATGTGGGTGGTAGCACCTGTTAGGGTCCCAGCTTTAAGCAAATAGTTAACCCCCAAACTGGTGTCAAAACACTAAGTGTAAAAATGGGTTTTAATAGCAGAAATACTTTTTAAAAACTTATTACCCGCAATAAATTTTTGAAGAAAAAATATATTACCAGTTATACAGGGAAAAATATTACCAACAATAGTTTTTTTTAGGAAAACATTATTACGAGGAACACATGTTTGAAAGAAAAATATTACCAGAAATAGATTTTTCCCAAAACAAAATATTACCAGGAATAAAAAATTTTCGGTATTAAATAACTCATTGAGGTTGATATGCCGTAAAACAAAAGAAACCAAACCAAACATATCTAGTAAGTGAAATAAATTTTACTGAAAGAGATGTGAAAATTCGCATAGCTAAAGCCTGGTGTGCCTTGAATAAAATGTCTGTAATCTGGAAATCTGATTTACCAGACAAAGTGGGGGTTATTTCGAGCCACTGTAGAAACAGTATTAATGTATGGCGCTTCAGCTTGGACATCTGCCTATAAAAAAAAAACCTGTGACTTCCGTAATCCGTCCGCTCATCACACCTTATAAATACCCATACATTCTCCCATCGAAACCAAATTTTGGGGAGAAGTGCAAAAAGGTTAGGTGGTAAAATGTACATTTGGTTTTATTAGAGTGCGTACTATGTACAATAAATTCAGTGGATAAAGTTTTATTATTTAATATACAAATACTTCTACTTTAAAAAAATATAATTTAATGATTAAAATAATAAATACTTATTTAATAAAAATCCGATATCGTTTTTTGCATATATTTTCTTTATGCTTTTATATATGCAAGAATCAAGTTCCTGGTTTGCCTTGCGTTTGCGAGAACTATAAACCAATCACAAGGCCAAGCATTTCAAAAGGTTGCGATTTGGCTCCAGAAAGAAAAAAAATACGCATGGCCAGTTGCATGTTGCATGCTCAAGAGTAAAATAATCATAGACATTTATTCCTCGCTATTGAAAAGGAAAAAATTTCTTAAAAATATTGTTTACCTTGACGTACTATTAAATTAATAGTAGCTCGCTTAAATTCAGGCAGTCTGGAACCAGCGAAAGTAGCTCGTCGGAACAGTTGCCGTGGAAATACTTGTAGAAGAGACAGAGGGAACCTACAGCACGTATGTGAGAAAATGACTGTTGACGAGATGCCAGATAAGGACCTATCACGTTGCGTATCCGTCTCTGGATTTTGTCGAGGACCTCGAGACATACAGCGGAGGCACCAGGCCATATATGACAGAAATATTCCATGCAGGGACGGATGGTTGATTTATAGATTTGGAGGAGGGACTCAGACGAGAAAAAAAACCTTCTGACACGACACAGAAAACCAACTTTCCTTGCGGTAGATGAAGCTATTGATTCAATGTGTTTGTTCCACTACATAGCAGACAGCATAAGACCAAACAGGCACATCAAGGCGCTCTCGTGAAGTTGGGCATCAGCCATTCTGATGGGAGGCCGGTAGGGTTCACTCTTGTGGCTAAATAAGAGCAGTTTCGTTTTGGAGGAATTGAAGCTTACAAGTTATTTCCTGTCCTAGTCAACCACAGATTGGAGGTCCTTTTCGAGACCAAGAGCTCCAGGTTATTTTTGTTAACGATACCAGATTTACTATTCAGGCGGGAATAGATAGTAGCGTCGTTCGCGTAGATGTCTACTTGGGAACTGATGATATCGGGAAGGACGTTAATGAAGATCAGGAACAGTCTAGGGCCCAAGATAGATTCTTGGGGAAAACCAACGTTCGTTATTTATTAAATCAATTATTTACAAGAATAATTTTCTTTCACTTTTAATTTGTATGAGCTAATTATGAAATTACGATGTTAAGTTCCCAACAGAAATGATCGAATTATATTTGTATTTAATTTTTACAATGAAAGAAACATATGAATAATTATTTACTTTAAGCGAACTTATTTATTCCAATGAAATGGTAACTTCAAACTCTGATATCATTTATTAATCAGTAGTTTTACTTCTATCTTAATTTGGTTTGGGCTTTTGTTTTTGACCTGCCTGAATAAAAGTTAGAATTTTAAAAAAAAAGTTACTAAAGATCGAATTTCTTCGTTGAAAGATTTGATATTTTTTTCGTTGGGATTTAAATATTTTTTATTCCCTTTGGGGATTAGGATTCTTTTTCATGTTCCCACCCGATGAAAACTTTCAGAATCCACTTTTATGTTTTATGCCGTTAGAGGTAATTCAAAAAATAAACACAAAATTTCTATTTTCCCTTGGAAAACGCATTTGACAAAACGACTGAGTTTTCTGTTCTTTATAGTTGCTTACGATTTTTCTTTTTGTTTTAGAATCTTGATAGAAAATTTCAATTTGTTGGGTTCAAATTCGTATAATCAATAAAAAACCAAGACCATAATAAAATCAGTTTTCTTTTTTCAGAAAAAAAAAAGTTGGAACGATATTTTATATAACTAGAGAAACTCATAGAACTTTATTGCACGATGCAGAACATAATTATTT